TGCGTTGACATGCATTGGCATGCGTTGGCATGCGTTGGCATGTGTTGGCATGCATTGGCATGCATGGGCATGCATCGGAATGCTTTGGCATGCATTGGCATGCGTTGGCATGCATTGGCATGCATTGGCATGCGTTGGCATGCATTGGCATGCATTGGCATGCATTGGCATGCATCGGCGTGCATTTGCAAGCGTTGGCCTGCATTGGCATGCATTGGCATGCATTGGCATGTATTGGCATGCCTTGGCATGCGTTGGCATGCGTTGGCATGTATTGGCATGCTTTGGCATGCACTGGCATGCCTTGGCATGCATTGGCACCTCGGCAGGGGACGGGGAAGTACGAGGAGAAGGAGAAGTGAGGATCAGAAGGACACCGACGACACTGGCGACTACGGCACAATGACCACGACTGCAAAGACGACGACGACGAAGGCGACGATCATCATCATCATCATCATCACCATCATCATCAACATTGCCACGTCATCGTCATCGTCATCGTCATCATCATCATCATCATCTTCATATTCATCATCATCATCATTATTATCATCCTCATCCTCATCAGCATCATCATCATCCTCTTCATCATCATCGTAATCATCATGCCTTTCAGCATTATTAGCACCGCCATCATACACATAATCATCATGCCTTGGCATGCATTGGCATGCCTCGGAGAGGGACAGGGAAGTACGAGGAGAAGGAGGAGTGAGGATCAGGAGGATCCCGACGACACAGGCGACTACGGCACAATGACGACGACTGCAAAGACGACGACGACGATCATCATCATCATCATTGCCATCGTCATCTTCATCAACATCATCCTCATTATCATCATCATCATCATCATCATACTCATCATCATTATCACCATCATCATCATAATCATCATTCACATCAGCATCATCATCATTATCATCCTCTTCATCATCACCGTAATCATAATGCCCTTCAGCATTATTAGCACCGCCATCGTACTCATAATCATCATCATACCATCATTATCGTCATCATCGTGATTGTCGTCATCGTCATCGTCACCGTCATCATCATCACTACCATCATCATCATCATCCTCGTCATCCTCATTGTCCTGGTCATCCTGATCATCATCATCATCATCATCACCATCATCATCATCATCGTCGTCGTCGTCATAATCATCAGCGGCATCAACATCACTATCTGCATCACAATCATTATCAAATTCATTGTCATCATCACCATCCATCATGTTCGAGCGCTGGCACACAAAATTGGCTGGAAGCAACCGGAACGCTCCAGCGCCCCCTCCCGGAGCCCCTCTCCGGCGCCACCCGGCCGCCCAGGCTCAGGCTCCTCCTCCGCCTCCTCATCACCGTCATAGTCATCATCGTGCTCGTCTTCGTCGTCATCACAATCTTCATCGCCACCACCACCACCATCACCATCACCACCACCACCATCATCATCAGCATCATCATCAGCACCGTCCTCGTCGTCGTCCTCGTCGTAATCATCATCATCCCCACCACCATCATCATCATCATCATCAGCATCATCATCGTCGTCGTCCTCGTCGAAATCATCATCATCATAGTCATCATCATCATCATCCTCGTCCTCGTCCTCCTCATCATCATAATGATCATCGTCATCATCATCCTCGTCCTCCTCCTCATCATCATAGTCATCATCAACATCATCATCATCATCATCATCATCATCATCATCATCATCGGCTAAGCGGCTCCCCCCCGTCCAGGTCGCGTCCAGCAGAGTGCATGGCCACCTCTTCCCGAGGCTCTGTCGGCGCCGAGACGAGCCCTGGCGCTTCAAAGGCGTCCAAAATCCCCAATATGGCTTCCAAGACGGACCTGGGAGGCCACCGAAGCCGCCAAGATGACCCAAGGTACCCCCAAGACGGCCCAAAAAGGCCCGGGGCCTCCCTCCGGGGCCCCCTTCCGGCGCCGCCCCGCTCCCCCCGCCTTTGCCCCCGCCCTCCCCGCCTTTGCCCCCTCCGGCGCCCATCACCATCATCATCACCACCACCATCATCATCACGATCATCATCACCATCACCACCATACATATCATCATCATCATCATCATCATCATCATCATCATCATCATCAGCATCAGCATCAGCATCAGCATCATCATCATCATCATCATCATCATCATCATCATCATCATTACCACCGTCATCATCATCACAATCATAATAATCATCATCGTCATCATCAGCATCGTCGTCAAACGCATTTTCATCATCACCATCAGCACCATCATGTTCGTGCGCTAGCAGGACAAAATGCGCTAGCCCCCCGAGGGGGACAAACAAAAACTTCGAGGGAAACAAACAAGCCTCCGAGGGAAACAAATAAAGCTTCGAGCCCCCCGGGCCCCCCCCCGCCCCCCCCCGAGGGGAAAACAAACAACTGCGAGGGAAAAAAAACAAGCCTCGAAGGGAAATAATAAAAGTTTCGAGGCCCGGCCCCCCCGCCCCCCCGGGAGGGGAAAAAAAAAAGCTCCCCAGACCCCCCGAAGGCCCCCCGAGAGGGGGAAACAAAAAAAAAGATGAGGGGGAACAAAAAAAGCTAAGACCCCTCGAAATCCCACCGAACATCCAATAGGCTTTACACCCACAACCCAGGCACAGTGGCGGGATGGGCTGAAGGCCATTCGATAGAGAGGAGTCCGAGGTGCAACAGAGAATCAAGAGTCCAGGGGGCGAGGCTCAAGCCTGGATATCTCACCTGGACCTTTCCTACCGCGTTCGGAAAGGCAGCCCGACAACAAACGAATCAAACATACGTCGCTCAATTGGGGTCGGCGGCAGTGGCGGCAGCCCTTCGATATATATATATATATATATATATATATGTGTATATATATATGTATACACACACTAGAACCATCGCGCGCGCTCAGGTTCTAGTTGAGGTCACCGCTCAGGTGCGATGCCCGCGACGATTCTGACCACGAAGACGGCGGCGTGCACTGCAAGCCACGTGTTCCGGACGCGCCATGTTCCGGAAGAGCGTTCCCGGAGCATGGGGCGCCAGAAGCTCCCCCGGTCTTCCCCCCTTCCGGACTATCCTGCCGAGGAACTCTTGGGTTGCGTAGGGCCGGTTTTGCGGGCTCCCTGGGCCTCTCTGGGCCCGCCCAGGGCTGTTTGGGAGCGGACCTGGAGGCGCGCTGGGCCCTATTGGAGCGTCGGAAAGCCAAAACAGACAAGAAGGCCAAGATCCTCCAATTCCTATGTAAAATGAACGATTTTGGCCTGTCGGGAACCTCTTGGGGGTGCTCCTGGAGGCGTCTTGAGCCATGTTTGAAGCCTCTTGGGAGCTACCTGGGGCCTCCTGGGGCTCTCTTGAGGCGGAAGCCGTGGGTTTTCCGGACGCGGTCTGTCTCTTGGACACCTCTCGGGCTGTTTTTGGGGCACTCGTGGGCTGCCCTGGGGGCTTCTTGGGCCAGCCTTGGGCTCTCCGGGACCGCCTCGGGGCGGCGTTGGGCGCTTCTGGAGCTGTTTGGGGGCGGTCTCGGAGGCTTCCTGGGCCGCCTAGGAGCGTCGGACAGCCGCAAAGATCAGAAGGCCCAAACCCTTCCAAAACTATAGTAAAACCATCGATGTTTGGCCTTCTGGGGCCCTCGTGGGAGTGCTCTTGGAAGCGTTTGGAGCCATGTTGGAGGACTCTTGGGGGCTGCCTGGGGCCTCCAGGGTCACTGTTGAGGCAGGAGTCCTCGGTGTTCGGTACGCGGTCCCTCTCTTGGGCCCTCCTTGGGCTTGTTTTGGAGCCTTCTTGGGTTGTCGTGGGCGCTTCTTGGGCCAGCCTTGGGCTCTCCGGGGCCGCCTTGGGCTTGTCTTGGGGGCCTCTGGGGCTGCTTGGGGCGGACCTGGAGACCTCCTGGGCCGTCTTGGAGCGTCGTGCAACCGAAAAAAGCAGAAGGCCCAAATCATTCCAACACCATCGGAACACCATCAATTTTGGCCTCCCGGGGCTCTCTTGGGAGTGCTCCTGGAAGCGTCTGGAGCCACGTTGGAGGCCTCCCGCAACCTCTACCACGTGCTTCGGCGACATGGGTCGAAGATAGGAACCATTCCTGGTGCTGAAACAGCACCAGGGTCCGTCCAGAGCCGCTCGGGAGACGCCCCGAAGCGGCTATGGAGAGGCCCGGGGGGGGGGGTCCCCCCATGGCGAGTCGAGGCAGCTGGCCAGAGGCCCCCGGCGTCGTACCCCGACACATATATATATATAGAGAGAGAGAGGTGTGTGTGTGTGCAACTACGAACCTCTGCATAGCAAACGAAGAACCTGGCATAGAGAGGAGAGGGGGGAAGGGAGCGAAAGGAGAGAGAGAGAGAGAGAAATAGAGAGAGAGAGAGAGAGAGAGGAAGAGCGACATGGCTACATATATATATATATATATATACTTGTGTATCACGCGAGAGAGAGAGATAGAGAGAGAGAGAGAGCAAACACTGGAGGTACATCCCTGGACTCGAACGGGAAGCCATGGGGAACGCTGGCTTGAGATCTGTAGCCCCTGGCTTGACACGCGCGTGCCTGCCCCGCGAGCTCAGGCACACACACACACACACACACACACACACACACGTGCACCGCAACAGACTACCGACGCAGGCCGCCATCCGTACACTGTGCTGGGAAAGCAGACGTGGCACAGACGGGGCAAGAGATGCCCAGCACATGTCATGAAACCGCACCCTCCTATTTCTCCTCCTCCTCCTCCTTTTTCTCCTCCTCCTCCTCCTCCTCCTCCCCCTGTGGCCCGCTGCGGCACGGGAGATCTGGTGGCCACAGGTCTCCGACCCACGCGTGCACAACGCGCGGACTGAAGCTGACTCGCCCCAAGCTCGGCAGACGTGCGTCGGAGGGGGGGGGGGTGGAAGAGGCATGACAGAGGAAGGACGTGCAAGCAGGAAAAAGGGCCAGGGGGTACTTGTTTAGTCGCGGGACTCTGGTTCAGACTGGCCTCCAGACTGCTCAGTGCTCCGTCATGAAATACTTTGACTTTTCCTTGGCGACGCAATCGGATCGATAAACTGACATGGCAATCCACCGGCATCCCAACACCATGTCTCGCCGCACGATCGCGATGGGCTGATCAACACGCTTAAAATGTATGGTATCCTTCGCGTTGATCAGGTTGTAATCCGGCAACATTAAATCCCACCTAGCAACCCGGGTGAAATAAAGATGAACCACATTGGCCCAAGTCGATTTGAGACTGGTTGTGGGAATAACGAAAAACCAGTCTACATTCCCCGAGTCTGCCTTTGGCATAAAATTCCACTTGCGGGTGTCGAACGCCCATTTGATTGGTTGCAGAAGTGCCACATCTGGTCGGATCCGCACGATGAGTGCATATTTGTATTTTTCGGCCTGTCGAAAACAATGGTCCATCCACATCACTTGTAAAAATGATGGGTCGTCTCTGCACTTGCGCGTGACTAGACCGTCAGCCTTCCAAGCCGCTCGCAGGTCCTCGCATTTACCGTCTCGCTCGTTGGTTAACAGATATCTCAGCGGCAACCTGGTTAAATTCAAAGCGTGCTTGAAAGCCAAATTTTTGTCGCCACCAAATGAATCGCGCACATAAGTGTCGAGCAATATCGGGCTGGTCTGGAAACGCGAGAAATTGCCGAAGTGCCCAACGAAAAATCCGTCCCGGCGCCTGCTGCGCGACAAGCGTGTGTCGAGATCCCTGCGGTGCTTCCGCGTGCGCGGCTCCTTGCGAGACAACGCGCGCGTGCACGTCATTTGATGTTGGCGGTGCGCACAAGGGGGTGGAGGGAGGGGGGAGGGCTTCTTAGAAGGAGGCTGCTTCTTGGAGGGCGCTGGCCTTACATCTATAGATGAGACCCGCGCCTTCTAAGAAGCAGGGGAGCTTCTGAGAAGCCCTCTCCCCTCCCCCCCCCCAGAGATCCGACGTCGTCATTTTTTCAATGCGGGGCCCCCAGAAATCTCGACCCATTCCCCAGGGCCGTTGTTTCATCCTGAGCCGTTTTTGGACGCTCCCGAGGCCCGGCGAAGGCCCCTGGGGGCCGAAATTTGAGGAAAAATCATTCGTCGTACGTTGGATCTCTGAGCCCCTGCGCGCGGCTGAGCTCCAGCACCCTGCACTCATGAGGAGGAGGAGGAGGAGAAGGAGGAGGAGGAGAAGGAGGAGGAGGAGAAGGAGGAGGAGGAGGAGGAGGAGGAGGAGCCGTCTGCCCGCTCGGGGTGGGACGGCCACGCGCGCTGGCCCACGCGCGGGCGGCGGCAGCGAGGCCCGCCATAGAGACCGCGCGGGGGGGAGGACCCCGCCACATCCCCCGCCGCGGCGGCGGTCTCTGGCGGCGGCTGTCCGCGGCGGGCTGCTGCCTGGCGGCGCTGCCCGCCCCGAGGATTCTGAGTACACGAACAACAAGGCCCTGCAGAAGAAGCTCTACGAGAGGAACAAGGCCAGGGTGACCGAGTACGTGTCAAGGCTCGACAAGCCCCATCGCTGATTGAGAAGAAGCAATCCGAGAATCTGAAGAGCCTGCTGGCCACCAACCTCTACAGTCTCCGCGAAAGCATGGAGTACGTGACCACCAAGGCCACGCCGTTCTACCGCAAGAACGACGCGGCGGGCACGAAGGACGCCGACTTCTTCTTCCAGGACCTGGCCGGCCTCGGCATGGCGGGCAGGGAGAGGAACTGGGGCTGGGAGACCGAGTCGTACGAGAAGTCCAAGGGCGATTTCGAGGGGTGGATGAACGTGGTGGGGCTCTGAGCCTCCACGGCAGGGTGACGGCCGCCTTTCTTCGCGCCTCCTGGCGCAGGGAGGAGCAGGAGGAGGTAGAGGAGGAGGTGGAGGATTGGAGGTGGCGGGAGGAGATTTGAGGACCAGGTGGGGATGCACGCCGTTTTGAGCCAGCGTTCGCCGACAGCAGCGGCGGAGCCGCAACATAGTGCTGCCGCCCTCGGGTTCTGTTGAAGTCTGGAGATTCGCGCCGCCCGAACTCTCCAGACTGTATTCGCGGCCCGCGGTCCGAATTGGCTGGTGTGGGCGTCGCGCGCGCTTCGTGTGCGGAGTTTCGAATTCGCCGACAGCAGCGGCGGAGCCGCAGCATAGTGCTGCCGCCCTCGGGTTCTGTTGAAGTCTGAGATTCGCGCCGCCCGAGCTCTCCAGACTGTTTTCGCGGCCCTTGGCCCGCATGCTGGCGTGGGCGTCGCGCGCGCTTCGTGTGCGGAGCTGCGAAGTCCAGGTGGAGGAGTTTCACAGTGAGGATGATGAGGAGGTGGAACAGGTGGTGGGGAAGGAAACCGTGGGACCGTGGGCCCATGCTCGATCGAGCACGCGGCCGAGCGTTTCGGCCTGACTGCCAGACTGGCATCAACAGGAGGCTGGCGACACAGCGGCAGATCATCGGGGGCACGAGGATATTACGGTTGCGCTGCTTCGGATCGCTTCTGGCCCTGAAGGGGCTCGGTGGCAGGCGCGGACGCCGCAGTCTCCCCCTCGAGCTCTGCCATGTCCATCTTCACCATCATGACGATCTCCCTTGTCTCCGTCTCCCTATCTCTCGTGCGCTGTTCTGAGCTAGACCACATGCCTCAGAGGTTCGCTTCCTCAGGCCCCATGGACCGCGACTGTTCCCTGAGTATTCCACGGTGTGTTCCAGAGGCACGGTCGAGTTCGGGGACTTGCTCGACTTTACTGCTTCGGCTACGATCCCCGTGGATGGGGGCGCGTGGCGTGCTGTGCTGGGGTGCGGGGTGGCTGGGGGCACAAGAGGGTGTAGGTGGGTGAAATACCCCGCTAGTACCTCCCAGCCGCCCCCTCCACAGGGATACTAGGCAGCCTGCCCTGCCTAGCCACGCCCTCTTGGCGACGGCGCCAGCCTCGACGGCGCCGCCATCTTCCTGCTCGACTCCCTCCCTCCGTCTACAACATCGTCACATTGGTCGTCCATCCTTGTCCTCTTCCTCCATCCTTGAGCACTGTGCCCGACTTCACTGCTTCGGCCACGGTCTTCGTGGCGCGTGCCCTGCGGCCTCAACCGTCCGAGCGGACGGTGAGGCACTGCCTTCCGACCGCCTGCAGACGCAGGCCCAGCTGACGCTTCGGGTGTGCGCCCAGTGGCCTGCCGAAGAAAAGGAGGAGGCAAGCAGCCAGCAGAGGATCTCCGAAAAACCGGATAACCCTGGAACACACGAAACCCCTAGCCACTTATGGCGGACGGGGGAGGCGAGGCCTCAGGAATAAAGCTGAACGAACTCAGGCCACTGGGGGCAACGGTGCCCCCGTCTTGGGGTTGGTACCTTTCCCCACCATCTCGGGGCTGGCAGCCAGCTCCACCCCCTCTGCGCGTGGCCGGTGATGCGTGGCCATTGCCTCGCCCCCGCGAGGCCGCACCGGAGCAGGGACGCCCTGCGGCCCGGGCAGGGCGCGGCGCGCGGTCGCCCTGACTGCTCTCCGCGGGTGGCGCAGCCATGTCGACGTTCTCTTGTTCTCGGCAACAAAATGCCCTAACATACCCAGAAAATGGTAAAACACAAATCGTCCCCAGACTATTTTCTGGCTATTTTTGAATATTCCTCCTGTAGAGGGACAGGCCCGACTGAAAAGGAGAAGGAGAAGGCCTCCTCAGAAGGTTCGGAAGTGCCCCGGAGAAGTTTTCGAAGCCTTCCCCGAAGACAGAAAACACTCCTCCGAAGGCGCAAGGGCTTCTGAGAAGTTCCGCCGCCTTCTGAAAAGGCCTTCTTCGGTGTTTCGAAAGTGTGCGGAAGGGTTAGGTCGGGCATGTCCCCCTACAGGCGGATCGGGGGCGAAAAAATCGAAATACTAGAATTATCCTGGCGAAGGACCCAACCATGTGCAATTGTGAATACCGCAATTGTGAATATCTTCTTCGGTGGCGCTCCCTATGGGGCCACGAAACGTGTGAGGGGTGTGCCGACATGGGTGCGCGGGACGCGTGCGGGCACACCCACTGGGGCCTTCGGTGGAGCTCCCTATGGGGCCACGAAACGTGTGAGGGGTGTGCCGAAATGGGTGTGCGGGACGCATGCGGGCACACCCACTGGGACCTTCGGTGGAGCCCCCTACGGGGCCACAAAACGTGCGAGGGATGTGCCGAAATGGGTGTGCGGGACGCATGCGGGCACACCCACTGGGGCCTTCGGTGGAGCTCCCTATGGGGCCACGAGACCTGTGAGGGTCACGAAACGCGTGAGGGGTGTGCCGAGATGGGTGTGCGGACGCATGCGGGCACACCCACTGGGACCTTCGGCGGAGCTCCCTATGGGGCCACGAAACGAGTGAGGGGTGTGCCGAAATGGGTGTGCGGGACGCATGCGGGCGGCAGCACTGGGGCCTTCGGCGGAGCTCCATATGGGGCCACGAAGCGTGTGAGGGGTGTGCCGAAATGAATGTGCGGGACACACGCGGGCACACCCAACGGGACCTTCGGGGGAGCTCGCTTTGGGGCCACGAAACGTGTGAGGGGTGTGCAGAATTGGGTGTGCGTGACGCATGCGGGCGGCAGCACTGGGGCCTTCGGCGGAGCTCCTATGGGGCCACGAAACGTGTAAGGGGTGTGCCGAATTGTGTCTGGGTGACGCATGCGGGCGGCAGCACTGGGGCCTTCGGCGGAGCTCCTATGGGGCCACGAAGCGTGTGAGGGGTGTGCCGAATTGGATGTGGGTGACGCATGCGGGCGGCAGCACTGGGGCCTTCGGCGGAGCTCCTATGGGGCCACGAAACGTGTGAGGGGTGTGCCGAATTGGGTGTGGGTGACGCATGCGGGCGGCACTGCACTGGGGCCTTCGGCGGAGCTCCTATGGGGCCACGAAACGTGTGAGGGGTGTGCCGAATTGGGTGTGGGTGACGCATGCGGGCGGCAGCACTGGGGCCTTCGGCGGAGCTCCTATGGGGCCACGAAACGTGTGAGGGGTGTGCCGAATTGGGTGTGGGTGACGCATGCGGGCGGCAGCACTGGGGCCTTCGGCGGAGCTCCCTATGGGGCCACGAAACGTGTGAGGGGTGTGCCGAATTGGGTGTGGGTGACGCATGCGGGCGGCAGCACTGGGGCCTTCGGCGGAGCTCCTATGGGGCCACGAAACGTGTGAGGGGTGTGCCGAATTGGGTGTGGGTGACGCATGCGGGCGGCAGCACTGGAGCCTTCGGCGGACCTCCCTATGGGGCCACGAAGCGTGTGAGGGGTGTGCCGAATTGGGTGCGGGTGACGCATGCGGGCGGCAGCACTGGGGCCTTCGGCGGAGCTCCTATGGGGCCACGAAACGATGTACTGGGTGGGTGAAACGCAGGGAAGAGGGGGAGGAGGGAGGAGGAGGGGGAGGAGGAGGAGAGGAGAGGAGAGGAGAGGAGAGGACAGGAGAGGACAGGAGGACGCGGGGACCGTTTCTTCAAAACGAGGACCCAACACCACAGGATGGTTGGGAAAAATACCCCAAATAGTTAAGAAATGCTCGAGATAAAATCCTCAGACTATTTTCGGACTATTTTGAGTACTCCTCCTGTAGAGGGACAAGCCCGACTTAACGGAAGGGGGGGGCATGAGGGGTTGGCTCCGGACCTCTGCGTAACGCGGCTGTTTGCAACAGTGCGTCCTATGAGGAGGCTCCACCTGCTTGAAACAGGCGCCCCAAAACAACCAAGATCTACTCCACGGGGGGGGATTCGAGGGCCCGCGCCGATCGGCAAAACAATGAATAACGAAAACGATCACCATATTGGGTGACCCAAAAGGGGGTCCAGCTGAAAGGGGGTGGTGCTATCGATTTCGGGCAATGAAATTGCAAATGCATTGCGCAGGAGAACTGTATTGCATTGTGTTACAAATAATGCATTGCACGCGAAAATCCAGCAACACATCTGCGCCCCGGAATGCATTGCACGCCCCAAAATGTATTCTATTGCACCATCCCCCTGTCGCTGAACCCCCTTTTGGGTCCATCCGAGCCAGCCACATCCCCTTACTCAGTGTTAGGTCGGGCATGTCCTCCTACAGGCCGACTTCGGACGAAAAATAAAACTACCCAAACAATACACCAACGTTGACAAAAAACAATCAAACATTGTCCCCAGACTATTTTTTTACTGTGTTTGAATCGTCCTCCTGTAGAGGGACGCGCCCGACTTAGGCTCAGTGGCGGACGTGCGCGGCAGCGCCTCCGGACAGGTCCAGCCTCGCGCCTGGGAAGCTCGCGGCGGCCTGCTTCCAGGAGGAGGCGACGCCCGGCCACAGGAACGAGCGGATGTGCCCAGAGGCGCACATGGCAACTTCCATCCGACGGGACGTCGAAGTCCTCGGCTCGTTCCGCTCGCTTCGCGCATGAGGCTTCCGTGTCCGAGCAAGCGGCACTTCCTGGGATGGGCGATTGCTGGGCAGCCAGAACCAAATGAGGGAGTGAGATGTGGCCCCCTCCTCTCCTTCCGCCTCTTCCTCCTTCACTTCCCCCTCCTCCTCCTCCTCCTCCTCCTCCTCCCCGTCCTCCTCACTTCGTCCTTCTCCCTCCCCCTCCTCCCCTTCCCACTCCTCCCCTTCCTCCTCCTGTCCCCGAGGGGAGGGCGAGATCCACTCTCCAGAAGGTTTGGGCTGCCATGATCGGTGGTGGACGCCTCGCTCGTGGAGGAGGGACGGGAGGAGGGGGGGGATGACGATGAGGATGCAGGAGTGCGCCAGCCACTCAACTGCACCGATCCTGGCCAGGCCGATCCTGGACCCAAGATCGGTGCGCACGCCCTCCTGGCTTGGCCAGGAAGGCATATGCACAGAGCTGGGGCCCAGAATCGGCAGTGTCAGGTGGTGGGTTCAAGTCGGGCACGTCCCTCTACAGGAGGAGTATTCAACAATAGTCAAACACATCGACTGGGAACGATTTTCCGATTCTGTGTTGTACTTGTTGTGAGCATGTCTTGCTTATGTTTGGTTTTTCTTCTGAAATCCGCCTGTAGGGGGACATGCCCGACCTAAAGGTAGGTATGTAGTTAACGCCCTCCGAGGATGGGGAGGTGGAGGCCAGCCCCAAGTCGCGCCGGTCCCACGCTACCGCGGCCAGCTCGCCACCCCGAGGGCCAAGCGGGGGAGCCAGAAGCAGGCCGAGCAGGCCCCCTACCCCCAGGGGAACACAAACTTTTCACGTCGGCGGCTAGGCAGAGTTACTGCGCTGGCGGAAGAGCTGACTAAACGGGGGCACCGTTGTAGCGAAGTGTGCCACAATGCAACAGGGTAACACACATCGAAAGAATCAGAGGGCCAACTGGCTTCTGCACCCTTGACTGTCCTGTGGCCTCGGAGGGGGGGTTGCGGGGGAGGGTCCTGCTTGGTCTCACGTCTGGCGTGTCCCCCTACAGGCAGATTTTTGGCGAAGGGTTGGGATATCAGAAACACATTCCAATTTGGTCGAAAACAATACTCGAATAATAGTCCCCAACCCATGTGTTCGCTATCTCGGACATCTTCCTCCTGTAGAGGGACAGGCCCGCCTGGAGCTCGGTTGCTTCCGCGCGCCCCTGGCCCCCAGAGCTGCCAGCTGGCCACGGCGTGATGTGGCCCACGTACGTCGGCGCAGCAACCGCGCGGCCCAGCCCGAGCTCACCAGCACGACGGCGAGCACGAGGTGCACGGCCAGGCAGAGGGGCACCACCGGGCCGCACGCGGCCATCCCCGGCACAGCTGGGACAGCAGGGGGCACCGAGGTTCAGTGAGAGGAGGGGGGCGGATGCCACGAGGAGAGGCAGAAGGAGACAGGGGAGGAGGGAAGGAGGGGAACGGGGGGAGGGCGGGAAAGAGGGAACGAACGAACCAACGAAGGACCACCACTGCGGACGAGCGCCCAGGCCTCACTGAGACCAGGTGGGCGAGACCCTGGCATCTGGATTGTGCTGGCCTGGCTACTATAAAAAACTTGCCCCTGCAGGTGGAGCGGACGCGGGAGATGAAGATGATGATGATGATGATGATGATGATGATGATGATAATGATGATGATGTTGATGATGATGGTGGTGGTGGTGGTGATGATGATGGTGGTGGTGATGCTGATGCTGGTGATGGTGATGATGATGCATGTGGCGATGTCGATGATGATAGTGATGAAGATGATGATGATGATGATGATGATGATGATGATGATGATGATGGTTAAGATGATGATGGTGATGGTGATGCTGATGATGATGATGCTGATACTGAAATACCGTTGATGAAGATGGTGATGCTGGTGCTGCTGAGTGAGATGATGTAGATGTTGATGTTGATGCTGATGGTGATGATGCTTGCGATAACGATGACGATGATGAGAATGATGCTGATACTGCTGATCATGATGATGCTCATGACGAGGATGCTGAGGATGATGAAGATGATCGTGAGACTGATGATGATCGTGGTCAAGATGAACATGTATATGACGATGAAGATGAATATGACGATGCTTCTGATGTTGATGCTGATTATTGTGATTTTGATGACGATGAGGATGATGATGGTGATGATCATGATGGTCGTGATGCTGGTCATGATGATGGTGAACCTGACTATGCTTATGTTGAAAGTGATTGCAATGATGTATGCTTATCGTGCTGATGATGATGTTAACATGCATATGAAGACGATGATGCTGTGGCGTTGAACGATGGTGCTGACGATCATGATGCTGATGATGATGTTTGGAATGTTGACGATGACGATGACAATGACGATAATGATAATGATGATGCTGGCGATGATGATGATGATGATGATGATGCTGATGATGATGATGATGATGATGATGATGATAACGAAGGTGATGCTCATGGTGATGACCAAACAGAAGAGTACTAATCTTTATAATAAGACGAATAACAATACTACTCATAATAAGAAGACGAGTGAGAAGGAGAAAGTGATGGTGACGGTGGTGAAGATGCTGGAGCAGGAGGAGCGCACTCCCCCTGGGGGAGGCGGAGCAGAAGGAAGGGGAGAGGGGATGCTGCCGAACCTCGATACCCCCGATGGGCGCTCGAGCGGCCCTGGCACCCGCCTGTGAAAGAGAGTGGGCTCGGAGAGAAACGGCTGCGTGCGTTGCATTGGACTTGGCCAGAGGCCGTCGAGGGGCGAGCGCCCGCGCCCGCCCCTCCGAGCTGCCTGGAGCACCGCTCGATGCAGAGGGGCAGAGCACACGCCCTTTTAAGAAGCACCTGGCAGGCGAAGCACTCGAGTAGACGAGCCCAGGGAAGGAATCGAGCAGGGCAGAGGGCCGTTTGGTAACGCCCGTGAGCCTATAGAAGAAGAGAAACTGCCATACACAGACACCTTTGGCGCTCCGAGCGGACTTCTTGGATCTGCGCTGGACCACCCTCTCTGGCGCGCGGAGCGCGCCAGGGGCGGCGCCGGAGGCGACGCCAGGGGGCCCCAGCGCAGATCCAAACATCCGCGCGGAGCGCCAAAAGTTTCAATGTATGTTTTTGTTTCTTCTTCGATTTGGTAAACGCCCAGCACTGTAAAGTAAACGCCATCTGTGGGTGTCGGGCCGAATTGTCCTTCCCTGTCGAGGCGCTTGCGCTGCAGCATCCCGACGGGGCCGCGCCGTTCGCCTCGCGAGCACCCATTAAACCAGCCGACGGGCCGACCACCTCGCGGCGCTGGTCGGCGCGGGTTCTGCCAGGGGGGGCCAGCTGCTCAGCAGCTCTTCGGCCGAGCAAACGGTCGCCAGCGTCTTTAGACAAGCGCGTTCCACTACTCGCAAGTAGCTACTCGCAAATGGCCTGGACCCACTGCATCGGAGCCAACAGGCTCCATTAGATCGAACAAGACCTGGTTCTGAACGTTTGCGGGTAGGCACTTTGCGAATAGTGGAACGCGCTCGGTGAGTCTTCGGGCTCACAAGCGCAAGTGACATCTCGACGCCACATCCTCGCGGTTCGGGTGCTGCTAGAACTCGCCCCCTGGCCCAAGGTGTCCCCAGGCTGTCCAAGGAGGCCACCAAGGCCTCCAGAGCACCCCATCACGACGCCCAGAGGGCCCCTCGGGGCTCCATTTTGTTTTCTGTGTCTTGCACCCGGTCGGAGCGCAGCGCAGCACGGAGAAGCACAGCGCAGCACCAGCAGATTGAAGGCCCCACGCAGTCATAGCGCACTCCGGGAGCACCTGGCTCAATTCACGACGAAGCCAGAGAGGGGGGTCCGCAAACGCATGGGGGGCAGAGCGCACCTTGAAAGAAGAAGAAGAAGGGGCTCCAAAGTGTAGCGAGAAGCTGGGGGGCGCCTTGGACCAAGGGTACCTTTTGGCAACCCCCGAGCGGTGCCTCGGCGGGAGCGCCGGCAGGGGCGGGCCCCCTTGACGCGGAGGCGTCGGCGTGCCGCGCGGTCCGTGCCGGGCCAGCGAGAGAGGGAGCGCCCTGGGGCAACTCATTGCGCGTCCCTCTCGCCGCCTCGGTCGAAGGCGGGTCTTGAGCAGGGACCAACCGTCCCGGCATTCCTATAGAGACCGACCACGAAATCTTCGCAGAACCCCCCAAAATGTTCTAAGAACAAAAACACTGTTTTTAGAACATGTCAGCCAGCGTTGACTCCAAATAGATAGATGGGCAGGAGAAGAGCGAGAAGGAGAAGACGAGGAGGAGAGGACGGGAGGGGAGGAAGCCAAGCATGAAATGGCAAGCAACAATAAGCGAGCAAAAAGAAATGATCAACCACGCAAGTACGGAGAACCGTAGGAGTAAGCTTGGGCAAATCCGGGTCTTGGAAGCGCGGGATGGCTCGCCCGTCGTCTTGGTAGGGAAGAGGGCGCGGATTGGCATTGCTTGACATTGTTTTGCATTCCAGAGCATGGGTGCGCAAGGCTTGGCAAGTTGCTTGCGTTGCTTGGCATTGCGTGGCATTGCGTTGTATGGAGGTGCTTCTCATGCCTGAGAATTGCATGACATTGCTTCGTATTGCATCGTAATGCTTTGGCATTGACATACGCATTGGCATCCGCTTAGGCCTTGGCATTGGCATCCATAGGAATCAATACGAATCCGAACTCAGGATCCAATGGACTCCATGCGCATAGGCATTGGCATTGGCATTGGCGTTGGCATCGGTATATAGGCATTGGCATAGGTATATAGGTACTGACATAGGCATCGAAATCTTATATGACCCATAGGAATCCATAGGACTCGCCATTGGAAATACCTGGGGGGTGCGATTGGAAATATGAGTGGGTGCCATTGGCAAAAAGGGGGGGGGCATTGGAAATAAGGGGGGGGGCATTGGAGGAAGGGGGGGGGGCTAAAGACCAATTGCTTATGATGAGCTG